TCACCATGTTATGTTGTAATGCATCAGCCAGATGTTGTGCTCCGAGATGTCCAATTCGATTGTATCCGAGATCTAGTGTGGTGAGTGTCTGTGTGAAGAAGTGCAGATGTCTGTATGAGAGGGAGAGAACGAGAGTCACCGTGTTATGTTGTAATGCATCAGCCAGATGTTCTGCTCCGAGATCTCCGATATAATTGGAGTAGAGACCTAGTGTGGTGAGTGTCTGTGTGAAAAAGTGCAAATGTGTATATAAGAGAGAGGAAAAGACAGGAAGAGAGTCACCGTGTTATGTTGTAATGCATCAGCCAAGTGTTGTGCTCCGGGATCTTTGATTTTATTGTATTTGAGATCTAGTGTAGTGAGTGTCTGTGTGAAAAAGTGCAGATGTGTATATGAAGGAGAGAAGAAGAGAGAAAAAAAGTCACCGTGTTATTCGATTATGTGTAATTGACTATGAATGAAATAGCTTTTTCTAATGGTGCCTGTATGTGATGTGAGTGTCGATTAAAGAGGATCCTCTATATAATGGATTTTGTGATTGGTCGCAGATGTGTCGAACGGATGAAAAAAAAAGAGACAAAGAGGTCGGTTTTTGGAGACGTGTAATAGAAGCCTGATGCGTAGGGGTAGAGAAGGTGGGTAGTTATGCAGAATTGGGATTCATATAGTGATAGCTGAAGAATATTGCTTATCCTCATGTAAAATGCTGCCATCGTGTTGTTTTGTTGTATCGCGTATTGGGATTGATGTAATAGTTATTGATGGTAGAAAAAAAATATGTTGTCAATGTTGCAGTTCTTATTAATCGCTTGGAGATTTATTTTCATCGAAGAATGATGATACAAGAAGGTGGGAATTCTTTTTTGGCTTGTGGAATTGGGGACTAGATTTTGTTTTATATTAAAATTGTCCAGGATTTTTTAAAATTTTTATTATGCAAATGATAGCGTATATTAGGAGAAGCGTTCAAGTTTCTGTGATGTGTTAGTGATATTTCATGTTTAGGTAATCATTTTTAATTTTTGAGAAACATATGAGTTTAGAATCAGCTACTAGGAAATTGATCTTGTGTTTTTCATGTTCGACAGGAAAAAGTCTCAATTTGCATTAGTCTGAGTAAAGATATGGTTTTTCTATGTCTTCAATATGATAGTGATAGATATTGACTGAGTCTTTCTATGAAGGACAGTTATGATAAGTATATTTCGATATCGATTGAATAGGAGGCTGGGTGATGAAAAACGTGAAAAATCTAGGAAGACTCAACGAATATTATGTTTGTTAAAGAATCCGTGAGCAATTAAGTACGAAAAAGGATCGCCGAATCTTCAAGTGGAGAACTGAAATAAGTTACACAGGTACGAAATAGAAAAAAGAATAGTAGTTCAGATAAGATAGTCCTATGATGGAGACAATTACTAGAATTTGAATATTTTTCAAATAGGTTCTAGAGTGCTCTGGTAGTTGGTGTTGTACTATCTCAGTAAGAATGTTTTAGCATGATAAATTTTCACAAGAAGAAAAATAAAGACATTTTAACCTTGAATTCTATAATTATATGAGAAAAAGAATGGATATTTGTTAACCATCTCGACATATTTGAGAAGTTTCAGCCTATTAGTTTTTTGCGCATGTATCCAAGTTATTACGTTTGAGATAACATATATGAACTAATTATGATATCAATGAATTTTCACGTGTCTGATTTTCATTGATTCAGTTCGTCGGTGAAATTTCGATCTTTGAAATGCTAGTTAAACCCCTGTTTTCGTGATCATTTATACTAAACTTTGATGAGTAATTGTATTCTATAGAGTTTACTTTCTAGTGTAGTTTATGTTTTGTAAGGAAACAATGCTCGTTTCATATGTATGAATAAATCAAATATAGAAA